CTTGTGGCTTTTTATTTTTGCTACTGTTATTTACTTTATACTCTTGCAAAGTTCAGCTAAATCTCAGTATACACTTTACGAACTATTAACAGTACTTCAATGCCAACTAACAGTGCCCTAAACTTTTAATTCAAATAGCTCAGAAGAGACCAGTAGGCATTCTTTAGTATTCCAAATGAATCCTTTTTCCTTCAGTTTTTCTGACGGCCTGGTTGGTGTAGTGTTTGCCAAATATTCAGTCCTTATTTAGTTTTATTGTTAGTGTTTGGTTCTTTAGATAATAATCTTTTATATAATACTATCAAAGATCTGTGCTACTTCTCTACTATGAACTTCCTAAGTGGGCTTTTATATTCTCTGATCCCTTATATTTATGAGCTACTTCACTTAAGTTTTGTATAACTTATACATTACACTAATCTTCTGAGTTACAGGCATTTATCTGATCAATATGTTATATAGTTTACTATAACATATTCTATAAATTCGAATTTCATTACTAGTAGGATTCGAACTCTTGTCCTGCTGTTTGGGGTGTAACAACTTACTAACTATATTAAGTTACCATACTCTTATTTTATAGCATTATTATTATAATATTATAACTATTTTTAGTATAATTAGTAGTTTATAATAATTATACAAAGGTCATATACATCAGTCTTTAATTAAAAGTAATTGAGGCAGCATCAACATCTTTGTATCCAACTTGTAGAATACTACTTACTTAGAAGGGTAATATGATAGTAACTTAACTGAAGTGGTAAGAAAAGTGAAAAATATAAGAATAACTTGTAGAAAAAGATTGACACAACTGAAATTGGAAGCACCTCTGACCCCAAGCCACTTGGCCTATTAAAAAAAATTTTATGATAACAGAGAAGTAGGCTAAAACTTAAAATACACAATAATAACTCAAAATAGCTAAATTCATTAGGCTGATAATACAGATATATAAATAAAAATTGTATATTAGAAACTAAAGGATACCAAAATTAATTAGAAGTATTACAGACCACAAACCAAACTAAGTCTATACCTCTAATAACTTGTAAGCTAAAACATCAGAGCATCAGAACACTATAGTTTATAAAAGAAAAATAATATGAAATTCTCTATTTAGAAGTTATAAAATAATTTGTAACGCAATACAACTTAATCTATAAGAATATCTACCCAATAGAGTAATAAAGATTAGCAAATATACTAACTAAACTAGGTGTTAATAACAAAGGCTTAACTTAAGTCAACATGAAACCTACTGGTAGGACTTATTTAAATAGAGCAGCTGATGTTTACCAAGATTAGAAATAGCTATATAAGACTATAAAGCCTTTCTATAAAGAGAATTATTAAATTTGAGAGCTTAGGTATAAGTAATATGAGTGATGCGAAAAATGTAGTTATAGGAGAATGTATCAAAGTAGAACTTGTGAAGAGTAAAAAAATATCAAGTGAGTGCTATCTATAAACATACTGCTCTAGTAGATTTGAATCAGAAATAATTAAATCAGTAACCAAATAGCAAAAAAGAAATATCTAATTATACAAGTGATGATTTCAGCCAGAATATAGATTACCAATAGGATTCAGATAGTGTTCCAAATCATTAGTTGAAAAATCAACCAGTTGCTAACTTTTCAACTAGTTGATTTGAAAAAATTTTAAACAACTAATCGATTAATTATTCAACTAATACAATTCTGAGAAATTTTGTCTAATTAGATAAATCTGAATTAATTCTTTTGATTAAATTAGCTAATTATCTAATAATGCTATATAATGTGAACAATCGATTAGTTGCAATTATAGTTGGCAACTAATTGATTAGTGAAATATTTACCAACTTAAAATATTAAATCTAGGTCTAAACTTGGTGTACTTGATATATATAATATGAAATATGGCAATATATGTAATAAAAGTATTAAAATAAATAAAGTTATAGCCAAAATTCTACCTAAATACCAAAAAAAAGAATAATATTTCTCTTTTAAAATAATTTTTACATACAAAGCTTATTACTATATTTTTGTATTAAATAAAGTTATTTTATATACTGTTATTATTTGTCTACTGCTGTATAATAAACTACTATATGGAGGTCTTTGCCTTAAAAATCAAATATATAACATATGATTTACTATGTTTATAACTTGATTTTCAAAGCAAAAACCCTATATATTTAACCTATATATATCTGTTATATAATATAATTAATATTTAAACTATATCATTATTCAAATTACTATAATAATTTTGTTAATAAAACTATATAAATTAACAACTTAATTTTTATAATATAAAACTTTTAAACAAATTTGACTAGCTAACTTTTTTAAAATATTATATATAAAAAAGTTATAAAATTTTTTAAAATTTTTTTAACAAACCCATCTAATTATTAAAGTATATAAAAAATTTTTTTACAAGTTTTAAATTTTGATTTAATCAGATTATAATAATTAATTAATTTTGTATAATCTAATAATAAAATTTTAATTCTAATATCCATATGCTTCAATTTTTGAAATTTAAATTAGAGTTTTTTAGATTTTTTTTTAAATTTTAAAAGCAAGTAAAAAAACAAACCCTAAAATCATAATTCAAATTTCAAAAATTAAAGTACATGCTAAATAAAATCTTCAATATTTATATACAAAATATATTTAAGTTAGTTAACTTGACAGTAAACTAGTAATGATTACAAAAGAATATTGCTGCAGAATAATATTCTTTAACTATTTTATTTTCTTTTAAAACTATTTCTATACCTCACTAAGAAATATCTAAAAAAAATTTTTTATTTAATATTAATTTTTTTAAAATAAAAAAATTTAAAGCAATCGTTATAAAAATATTATTTTAAAATATTTAATATTATTTATTGTTATCTTTTTTAAAAATTTAGACTATTATACAACTCTTCGTTTAGAATTTTAATCCTCGTGTAAAGGCTTCAATTTAGTTAGCATATTTAATTTTGGAAATGATCATCCCGGACCGAAACTTGAAACCGAAACTAGTCTGGAAATATAAAATATTTTAACGAATCCTTACCGCTTTATATATAATTGCAAATAAATAATAATAAACGTTGCCTTAATTGCATAATATTGTTGACCAAATTCCAACCTTCATTAAAATTTAAATTATTGGCTTTTTATTTTTAAAATTATGCTAAAGAAACAAGAGTATTATTGTACTTTCATGGTTTAGTAAGATAAAAAGAATTAATAAAACTTTTTTACATATCTAATAATTTTTTGTATAATAATTTTAAAGCGGTGTTCCAAAAAAGAAAAATTAAGTTCTGGTCAGTATCCGGATAGGGTATCTAGAATTCTGTAATTTTTATCGTTATTTTCATGCATAATTGACATAATTACGCGATTTGTACAGTCCATCCAGATAGTATTAACGTTAATATTATTTTTCAGCACTATCGCATTTCAGGAAAACAATAAGTTACGCCTCAAATTTTACAAATTCTGACAAATTTGGAAATTCAAAAACATGTGCTAAATAATTTACCGAATTGCAGAATTCTGGACACTCTAGTCCAGGATTCTACTATGATTATTGATGACGCATAAATAATGCTTTGGAGAAAAAAAAAAGACTCAAACAAAGGAAAATTTATTACAATAGATAATAGCCCACATCCGCCAATAATTTATTGCAAACCAGAATAGAAACTTTGCGCGGTTCTTTACCTGTCATTTTTCAAAAAAAATTTCTAATTCTGCTTAAGTTCCTCTACTTAAACTTTGCCAAATGAATGATTATTGTTGTGTAGAAGATTAGAATTCTAAAAATTCGTTATATATATTTTAAATGACAACTATCTTTCATTTGTGTAATCTTCACTGCAATTCTTTAATTACAAGTATCTTTAAAATATACTTAACGTTAATAATAAAAATTTTGTTTAAAAATCTATTTGCAATGGATATGTTCATAATCAGATTCGGTATCTTTTCAGTATGGCCCATTATCTATTATAAGTGCAGTTCAGTCCTAAAACTATGCAGAAGTTTTAAGAATTAAACCTTCAATAAAAGATCATGTTCTTTGTAAGACTGAAACTAGACAAGACAGTTTATCTCAGGACCGATCAGAACGTGGTCTACAAGCTGAATAATCCTTAGTTTATGATTGATTCAATTATGAATACATATTCTTTTTAGACGAAAATTGGGCAAATCATTCATTAATCTTTAAAAAGATTATGGCATACTTCGAAAAAGTTAATAAACTCTCCTTAACCAGCTGAAAGTTCTGATCTTTAGCTTATAAATGAAATCAAAGGATGCCTTTGAATAAAAAAGTCAAAAATGTTCAAAGGATTCAAATGAAAATCTTTGTAAATAAACTATGTGATTTGGCTTTGCAAAAATAAATAAATAAATAAATCAAATAAATAAATAAATAAATAAATAAAAGAGAAATTCTATTTGTACACGGGTGTATGTACATGGGCAATATAGATATCTCAAAATTTTGATTATAAAACCTCTAACAAAAAAATTCCTTGTGAAATTTTGGTATAGGCTATATCTTGCCTAATTCCAAACCCACCTTTACCCTAACCATAAGATAGGGTTTAATTTTTCGTTTGTAAAAATTGTTTTGACATGTCACACGAATTTGTAATTCAATAAATTATATCCGTGTATAAACACTGTGTAAACTAATAAATTTTCAAAATAAAAGCATGAACAAATTTTAACTTGGATTCAAAGTCAAATATGTTTAATATATTTACATATATCATTATAATTTATTACACGATTCATCTATGTCAGAAACGCCATTAATAAAAAACAGTTGCTGCTAAACGAATCAACTGCGAAAAATAGAATATTATACAGATTTACAAGAATTTTTCAAAAATAAAAGAAAAACAATACAGAAAATATCAATAAAATAAATAAATAAATATTAATTAATATGTAATTCATAGTATTAATTTTTTCCTTTACACTCACTTAAATCAACTAAATAGAAGCATTATTTTTTTGATGACCAGGACTTACTTCCCCCTCGCTTTTTCTCCTAAAAGAAACACTTTTACTTAGCATGCTCACTTTCTTAACCATATCCTTAACAACATTGCTAGCATTACTAGAGGTTTGATTAGTAAAACCATCAGAAAGCCTAGCCTTACGGTATAATTCTCTGGCCATATCCTTATATCCACAATCGGTAGCTATTCTTACAGCCCATCTATTGCTACAATTCACATCTGCACCTTTCTGCAGTAAAAGTCTCATAAGTTCCTGGTTATGATTAGTAACACATAATGCCAAAGGTCTTCCATCGTCTGCATTGGGATCTGCACCTGAATCCAAGAATAAACAAATCATTTTCTTTCTCGCCTCCCTATTAGCTTCTTCACTAATAAAATTTTGAAAGTAACATTGAATACTAAATTCTAAAAGAGATGTAGCTCCATAAATTGAAGGATCATTTGCACGATTTGATGGCGATATATTTATGGATGCCCCACTATTAATAATAATCTTTGCAGATTCGACATCTGCTTTTTCAATACATAAACGAAGATATAATGGATTATTTTTTTGAACTGTTCCAACACCTTGTTGAAAAGCCCATGCAATGCCTGTAGTGTATTGTCTATCTACACTTTCTTCCAAAATATCTAAAATATGTTGTTGATGAATAGCCACAGATGAAGCGACATCAAGTCGTTCATGAAGAACAATTGCAAACGCCAACTCAGTACCAGTAAAAAAGTCCTTTGAAATAGCAAGTTGATCGAAAAAAGTTTTTGATTTCTTTGCAGCAACAATTAAAGGTGATAAATAATCTTTTGGTAATCTATTTTCAACATGGATTCCTTCTTTTGTTCTTTGGATGTCTTTAGAAGTATGATATTCAATATATTTTTTCATATTTAACCCACGGGAAATCAACAAAGGAATTAATTGATCACTTTCATTGTGTAGGAAAGCTACATCCACCAATTTTGTTACGCTATCATCCAACGAAGAAGCCAGTGGCTTATTACATAATCTTTGTAAATCGATAATTTGCATTAGAATGTTAAATGGAGTTTTTGTCTCAACTGCTTTGCAAAGTTCGGAATAAGTAGGTAAAAAAGCATCTGGAAGTTTTGGATGAAGCCATATACGAAGCCAACGTCGTTTAAAACTTGGTGATTTTGACACAATTGTATGAAATTGTCGACACACGGGAGAAACAACATAAGGGGCTGGAAGAAATACTAATATAAATTCTAGAATTTCTGGAATAAGAGTTTGCAAAGTCGGTGAAAAAGAAAGGTGAGAATTTTTTTTGTGAATGGACATGTGTTCTAATGTTCTAATTATGTATTTTATAATACCGGTTGGTTTTTTTTTCTGATGTTTGAGTTTGAATTGCTGAGCAGAAATATATTCTGATGATTTTCCTGTAAAAAACTTATTTATACGTACTTACGTACTTACGTACGTAAGTATGACATAAACCTTGTTTGGTTTTAATTTATTTAATTAATATCATTCAATCAAAATTTGTGAAACCGTCGATTAAAAGTATTTTTTATACTATACAGCAACTTGCAGGTCATAAATGACCTGCCGCATATAATTAATTATGAACAAAAATAGATCAAATTCCGGAAAAGATTCCAAATTATATCTCTTACTTTCCTATCTCTCTTAGCGTCCTCTTTAATTTGAAATAACCTTTAAATTATTATAGTACCAAAGGCCTGAAAGAATCATAATTTAGTTTCCTTGTGACTAAAAAAAAAATTGCACTCTCAAGCAAAAGATTTAATTATGTATATATTTAGTTTTATCATTAGTCTTAACCAATATTTTTTTCTATCACATGAAATAATTAATAATTTCGTGTAACGTTTTAGGTGTTGATACAATTCGGCTAATTTGTTCCATTACGTACATACGTACGTATGTATGTACTATGAAATTTATTACATATAAAAGTTTTGAACAAGTATGAATTGAATTAATTGAATTTGCCGTAACTTGGGCAATATTAGTTAGATTGTTTTTTTTTTTTTTTTTTTTTTGTTAAGAATATCTATTTATTCATTTCTTATCAAACATCAAACAAATTAATCAAATGAATAAACGACAAAGATTGACTATATATAGCTAATCTATATTTAGGATATTTGGCACGATTCAACAATGCAGTACGTAATAGTGTATCGATTGAAATAACCAATTATTTTTGCGTTCAAGTCTTGTGACTTTTTGTTATAAATATTTTATGGTGATAGTGTGTATTCATCAACGAACAAACACTCTTTTTCCTGCAGACCCCACATAAATCAAATATGTATAAAGGCATAGTACCAGTTCGCCTACTTCCTCTTAAATCTTTATTTTTGTTACCAAATAGCATCGATTTTAGAACATTACGAAAAATTCTTTGTTGGTTGGCCTGTAGTTATACTTTTGGCTGTAATCAAAATGGTTTAATGTTTTAAAGTTTACTATATTAAACATAGGGAATTGATATTTATACTCCAATTTTTGATATTCGTACCCTCTATTAAACAAAAAATTTAAGCAAAGTTGTTCCTCTGACTTTTCTGATTCTAATAATAGTAAAATCATTAAATTTGGTTTAAAAATTCTTGAGTTATTCATATTTAAATTAGTTAACTTTAAATAAGAACTACCTACCCAATTTTAATTATTTTGCTGCCATTAAAATTAAGAAACAACTTAAGACATTAAAGAGGTTAGCTTAATAATAATATCGATATCTATTTTGGAACACTTTTTGTTTAATAGGGGGTACGGATATCAAAAATGGGGATATAAATATCAATTCCCTAAACATATTAGATAAACCTAGTATCACAAAATCAGTTACGTAATCGCTTTTTTAAATTTCAATCTGCGCACGAATTGTGAGATCACGAGATTTTTTTGAAGAAATCATAGAAATAATAGAAACTTCAATTGGATTTTCATGTAATTGTAATTTTTTGATCACATGATATATGGCTTCTGTGATCAATTTTCGGCGATTTGAGGAGTTAAATTCGGATCAATTAAAATAGTACAATAATGCAGGCCAAACTTTTTGTAAAACCGGGACTTTATATAAAACATGATAAAAATTACATGAAATTTTTTGATTTACTGAAATTTACGTATTATAAGATTGTACTTTCGTAACACAACCCTAGTCAAAATGACCCTCAGCAAAATTTTAGGGTTGGTGTGGACCAGAATTATGATGCCGGCCAGGGTTTTTTTAATAAAAACTCTGGCCGGCATTAACATAATTAACCGGGGTTAAATCACCACCTAAAAAAATTTCAGATCATGTTATTTAATAATCGCGATGTATCAATTATATCAGTTATACGATGCTTAATAATATAATTTTTAATACAAAATAGTAAAAGTGAAAGTATAATTGGTTTTTTTGAATATGTGAATAATATAAATCACATGAGCTGGATTTTTTTGGGGTGGCGATTTAACCCCGGTTAACATAATTCTGGCCCGCCTAATCCTAAATTCTAGGAAGCGTCATTTTGGCCCGGGTCAAAATAGAATTTCCCCATATAATTATATGCATTTATATCCAAATTCAAATTTTATTTAATACGCGATAAAGGTGTTATTGTTATGTCTATTTCAAGCTTTTGGAAGCTTTTTGGCTTGCTTGGAATACTTAATGTCATCTACCATATTTTGAATAGGTTTAAAGTTCGATTCAATACTTGAAGTCATTTTTTGGTTTGAGAAGATTATCAAACTTTTCAAAACAATCATGCACCTAAAATAAAATTAATAAATATATTATGAAAGGGTGAAACTCGTGACAGAGATAGTAACGTTGCTGATTCAGTTCTTACTTAGTTAAGGTTAGTGATAGGTTAGTTACTATTTTAAATAGTGATCTGCATCAATAACGTAACCACTTTCGCGGGTTTCATCCTGTCGTAATATATTTATTTAGGACGAATCTAATTGTAACAACATGCTACATACCTATTTGTAACAATTTAATGCAGCCAAGCCAGTAAAAATATTAATTCGTGTAACATCTTTGGCTAATAAACAGAAATATAATGTAAAAAATTTTTTATACTTCATGAAGAGTTTTCTGTACTCACTTAAAATTTTAAATTCGGATTTATTGTCTTCAGTACTCGATTCCTCATTATCTACATTTTGTTTCTGATCAATAATTAATTAAAGCAACCGTTTCTTTACTTCCGTAATAAAAGGATATTGAGAATTTCGTTGTACCTAAATTAATATAATAGATTTAGAAAATTTTAACCATAATATAATGACAAACCTTCCGGAAAATGATGCATCCATCTTCCTGAGAGGATTAACAAGATATAAGAATCTGTTTCCAAAAAAAAAAAAAAATGTCAAACTTTGATAATTGGTTAAATACTTTTGCACATTTTTAACGCTATGTTAATTTATTTCACTCAGTTTTGCCACAGTGGTAATATTCGTTCATGCAGGGTAAATGAAACCGATGCAACTGTACCAGCTATAATTTTTCGATAAGGATATGAAAGAGCAATACGTGACTGGTTGAATTTGTACAAGTAATCCTTTTAGCATACCATATACATATTGCTATCTCCTTCAACATCCATAGGTTTTTCATAAACAATATATGTATTCAAGTTTTTCAGATTTTATTGCATTTTCTTTTGCTTTCAAATGTCATTTAAAATTCGATCCTCACATTTTCGTTTTTTGCTTTCATTTACACAGCCTGTATACTTAAAACATAATTTATTATTAATTTGAAGCGCAATTTTTTGTTTCGTAATTCGACAAGATAAAGTTTTGTAAGATGTGTATACAATATTTCATTTCAGGATATTAATCAAATGTTGTCGCTATTGTATTAATCATTAATTTTAATGTCGGCAAATAAATTTAAACTTCGTATCTATGTAACTGATTTTGGTGGACGGATCTTTTTAAAGATCCGGATCTGATCTTAGATCTGATCCGAAAAATCGGATCGGATCCAAGTTATGGATCCGAAACCGTATCACATATGAGTGCGTGAGAGACAGGGACAGTAGATACTTCCATTAAGAATAAAACGGAATAAAATGAATAAAATGATAAATTATAGCCAATCAAATCTCGCTATTAATCACGTATTAATCACGTAATAATCTTCGGAAATTGAAAATTATTTTGAAAATTAAATTTTGGTTGGCTAAAAAGTTTTTTTTGGTGATTTCGGAATAAAATGGAATAAAATGGAATAAATGGAATAATTGATGTTTTATGATAAAAAATTCGTCATTTAATAATGGAGGTATTTATAAATAATCAATACCCTAATTTACTAAAAAAACGGGTGCGCCCTTTTCTCTCTCACGCACTCATATGGGGAATGGACTAGGAAAACCACCGTTTGATAGTTGCTTTCAGATAAGGGTTTCCTAGTCCATTCCCCATATAACTGAATCCGATTCGGATCCGACCCAGATCTTAGAAATTTGATAACTTTCGCATAATTGGTTATCGGTATAAATCAATTACAGCTGCTATAAATTGCGGGACACCTGATAAAAAATTGCCAAATGATTTTTAGACGATTCGGTTATCGTTAATGATTTCAATAAATTAATACGTGTATACATAATTTATGATCGGGCGACTAATATAAATAAGACATATATCTCCGGTTGAATACAGAAGAATAATATTCTAAAAGAATCTTTGTTGGAAATAAAATAAAAAGATTTATTAGTGGTGTTAATAGATCTTCTGTAAATCGGATTTTCAAGCACTTTTAAATATATGGATTAATTGGAAAACTTCCATACATAGTATTAATAAAATTTTGATTTTTTGGAATTTTGAATTGTATTTTAGACAAATTTCATAAAAATCAATTTGATCTAGATCATGATACACACATTTTTTGAATGCAAACACAGTTATAGTATATGCAAAATTATTAATTAGTATTATTTCTAAATATGAAATTACTAAAAACTAAAATTAGTTAATGAAGAATATTAGGGATATTATATTCATAACACCCATGTTATATAACACCTATATAATTTACTTAGGGTTGGGTTCAGTTTTAAGATTAATAGAGTTTTTAATATATATTAGACATAAGGTCTCCAATAGGTTCCAATTTCAGTTTTTGTAAGGTTTTGAGGGTTTTAAACATTTTATTTAGAGTACCCGATTCTGTTTACTTAGCACATTTTTGAGATATTGTATTGTAATATTAACGAATTTTTATTAACATTTTTTTTATAATTTTTCTTAAATTTTATTATATATTTTATATGTTTATT